ACAAGGAAGTGGTTACCCATGGAGATGCATGAATATGCTCTCCTTAGATATTTTTATTTATTTTTAATTTTTTTATTATTTTAATTTATTCGGATTTTTCTTTTTAAGTTTCACTTGCATTATTATTTATTTAAGCCTTTATATGTTTTATTTAGATTTTCTCTTTATTTAATATTTATCTTTTTGTTTTGTTTTTAGGATAAAAGTTCAAGAAAATGAGGAGTTGGATTTAAATAAGGAGTTTATAATTTGAAGAGATTAATGGGATAATCCTATTTAATACTCCTTACACCAATACAAAAGGATTTTGAATGGACCACCAGCAACACGCTCCCAACCACCGCAAGCTAGCAAGCAAAATCAAACAAACGGCTCGAATGACACTCATCAGTCAATGTGAAGACCTTTTTAACTAACTCATTTTCTTTGCATTGCATTGAGGACAATGCTTCTCTTGAGTTTGGGGGTTGTTTTATAATTAGTTGCATTCATTTAGTCATCCAATATAGTTGCAAATAGCTTCATATATTACTTGCCATGACTTTTACTGGATTAAACTGCTTAGACTTGTCGAATATCCAATGATGAATTTTTTCACTGCACTTAATTGGTTGAACATTTAATTTTAGGTTTTGCACGGACATTACTTAGAATTTTGCTACTATGCTAAATATAATTTGACACGATTGTGACTTGTTGTTTAAGGGATACTTAGTGAACTTAGATTGCATAAAAATTGGGTAAATTGAAAAGAAAATTAAGAAAATATAATTTCTTGCTAGAGGTGCCTGAAACCAGCTCTAGTTGTTATACGTTAAAGAATTCCTAGAGGTACCCAAAATCGGCTCTAGTTGTTACACATTCAAGAATCGCTAGAGATGCCCGAAACTAGCTCTAGTCGACTAAATTTGTTTACTTTGCTAGAGGTGCCCGAAATTGGCTCTAGTAAAAAAAAAAATCCCTGATAATTAATTTGATAAAACCTATTCTTCAAATGGGATCTTATTAGTTGACTTGTACACAACTACACACACATTATCACGAGCATCGTAGTTTGATTCCGAGGAATTTCTATGCTATCTGAAAAAATCAAAAGGTCGTCATATTCTATGCCACGATTTTGAAGATTAAATTCAAGATGAAGCATGGTTTTTATGGTCGAGGTCTTGGCAGGTAATTGTTAGTTTTGCATTGCTTGAGGACAAATAATAGTTCGAGTTTGGGGCTGTCTTAAGATAAAAGTACTATATTTTATACCATTTTACCCATAATTATTGCTAGATCTAAGCTCATTTTAGTTTCATTTTAGTAATTCATGCATGATTTCATAATTTTCTTCACCTTTAAGTTTGATATTACATTTTGGTTGGTTTTCATGGAAAGATGTTGCTGGTATGTGTAAATTTGTTTAGATTAGAAATTACCTTGGGAAACAGGAATTGTCGTAGCAATTGAAGCTGATTTTTGAAGGTCCACCTCATTCAAGAATATCACGACAAAAAGAGGATGAGCCCTAAAAATTTGGATTTCCACGCAAAATTTAAAGAGGAGAAGAAGTCTAAATTGCAAGGAAGTTTAAGGATATAGATAAAAGAGAATTAATACCTCTTTTATTCCAATTAAAATTCATCATCATCAACAACCAATTTAACCTAATACTCTCCGATAAATAATAAATGAATCACAATCTGCAAAAGGGCGAAAAACTTGAGAGAGAAAGGCTGAGCGTCTTCTTCTTCTTTGTTTCTTATTGATTCATGTTGGGAAATTTTTATTTTGTATTTCTTTTGCACCTATCCATGAACTAAACTCAATTGGCTTGGGTTATTGGATTTTTTTGGTTGTGAAAATTTTTAGATTTTTTAAGTTCTTGATTGCAATTTAAGTTCATAGTTTGTTCATTCTTGGTTCATTAATTGATTTCTAGTGAATTGGGAGAGAATCTTGAAATTTATCCATTTATCTAATATATGGAGAGTTAGATTCAAGAAACGAATGGGTATGATCTTCATTCAAACGAAACGTTGGTGAAGATTAATCCATCTTAGGGATTAGATTCGAATTTCAATGACTAAAAGGAGTGCAAGATTAGTTGTTGTTCATCCATGATTAACGTAGGGATGTATCACCAAGGCATGCACAAGTGACCAGTTCTTTGAGTTAGGGATAACAAAAAGACATTGAAGAACACTTCGATGAGCTTTGAAGGGAGGAACCCAATTACTAAGGCAATTGAATCAAGTTCAGTTGTCAAGGCAATCAAGTTGCCTCGTCAATCAATTACCCAAACTATCCAAACAGTCATCACACTGTAACTCACGGTAACCCGACATGCTCTCTTATTCGACCACAATATACTTTTATTTACTTGTTCATTTATTTTTATTGTTAATTCAAACTCATACTATCACCAATTTATTCCTTTTTATAGTGCAAGAAGTTAGAACAGAGTTATACAGATCCCTATGGAGACTATTTATTATATACTACAACTTGCGATGTGCATACTTGCACCAATTGCGAAGCACTTAAACTACGCAACAAGTTTTATTTGGTCAACTAGAGCCAGTTTCGAGCACCTTTAGTGATTCTTGAATGTGTAACAACTAGAGTTGGTTTCAGGCACCTCTAGCAATTCTTTAATGTATAACAACTAGAGCTGGTTTCGGTCACCTCTAGCAAGAAATTATTTTCTTAATTTTCTTGCCAATTATTGGACGGGTTTCATAACTAATATCGTTTGGACCATTGGGAATGGAGCTACGGCTCAATTTCTCGACGACACGTGGAATCACTCTTTAGGTCCCTTTGAACACTACCTTCCTGCTTAGATTTTTTGTGTGACCAATTACACTTTCAATGATGTCACGACTAGCACAGGTCAGTGGAATTTCAACGTTCTGTGCTCCTTTTTCCCTGATCAGGTTGTTCAACGCATTAAAAGTGTTTGTTGCCGTGATCCCAATGAAAAGAGTGATGCGTGTATCTGGAAAAAAATATAAATCACAATTTGACGTTAAAGTCACCTATCTTAGCCTTTGTGAAGATAATTGGGATCCAAGATCCTCAATTTGGAGAGACATCTGGCATTTCTCGGTGCCTCAACGTATTAGATGTTTTCTTTGGCTCGCCTATCGTGAGAAAATTCTTTCTAATGCTGAGAGATTCAAGCGGGGTATTGCTGACGATGCCCACTGCCATCACTGCCCATGCATGCTTGAGACTTGCCTTCACTCTTTGTGATTGTGCACATGTCAAGTCTCTTTGGAAGCGAATCCTCCCTCCAACTATGGAGCGTTCTTTTTTCGTTATGGACATCAAAACTTGGCTTCATAGGAATGTTACTTCCAGCATGGTTCACCCAACCTGGGGTATCCCTTGGAAAATCATCTTTGCTGCTTTCGCATGGAAAATTTGAAAGGCTATAAATGACTCTGTGTTCAATATTGTCACCCTTTCTGACTTGGAGATCATGCGCTCGAGCATCACCTGGGCCATGTATTTCAATGACTGCTTAATTATCCACCCTCTTAACTCTTTCCTTCAACAGGTTCATAAGCATTGGAAGGCACAAGATGCTGGTTGGTGCTCCATTAATGTCGATGCAACCGTCTCCCTTTCAACTAGCAAAGGGTCGATTGGTGGTCTCATTTGCGGCAATGAAGGCAACTGGATCATTGGCTTCCATAAAGCGGTGGGTGACCTCGATGTCCTCCAAGCAGAACTCTGGGCTATCCATGAAGGTCTCCACTTCACTTGGAATTATGGTTTTGAACTGCTTGAAGTCCAGTCTGATTCTCAACAAGCTGTCCACCTTTGCAAACTCTTACCTTTCTTTAGTAAGAGCCAGGGTTTTAAATTACGGTCGCGGTAGCGTTTTTGGTTATTTCGAATTTATCGTGATTGCGGCCGTCACGGACGCTATTACGGCCGTCGCGGGTAACTCGAAAGGCGGCGAAACCACTATATCACGGCCGAAATCGCGGTCGCGGACCGTTTTTAAAACTCTGGTAGGAGCTATCGCCCAAATTCAAAGCAATGCTTAGATGACAGATATGAAATGGATCCCCCGAGAGGCAAATAGGCCTGTCGATGCCCTCGCCAAGCTCCCCAACGAACATATGGACGAACTAACAACTTTGGAAGACCCCCTGGTCTGCAGCGACTCCTGCGTAGAGATCGTTTGGATCCTGCTTTGCAAACCCCTCTTAGTTAGGCTTCTAGTCGTTTTATATTAAAAAAACTAATAATTCAAAAATATTATTATATTAATTTTATGATTATTTTTTAAAATATATTTTTAGTAGTGTTAAGTATTTTTATTTTGGAGTATTATTTAGTGCATAAAAAATAGGGTAAATTACAAGTTAAGTACCTAAACTATAAATGATACGTTTTAATACCTAAACTTTTAATTTTTTAAAATAATACCTAAAGTTTAGTTTTTATTTCATTTTAGTACCCTACAGTAAAAAAATTTAATTTTTTTGTTTCATGTTAGTACCCTTTCAAAATTTAACGTTAAATTTAAAAAAAATAAAAAATTTAGATTCTAAAACGGACAAAAACTAATAATTTAGGTTTTAAATGCATAATTTACCCTAAACAAAATAAAGTGGTAGTTAAAAATTTTAGACCAAAAGACAGAGAAATAAGAGGGGAAGACCAATAAAATAAGCGCATAAAATGGCGTTTAGTGTCCTATTTGTATGTGAGTAGATCACGGCTGCTGCCACCAGCACCACCGCCACCGCCAGCACCACCGCACACCAAACAATCCCATCATGAACCCCAGAAATTAATTTTCAAGGAAAAAGGGTAAATTCCCAAAGAAAATATAGGATTCTTTTTGGTTCTTTGAAGAACTTGAATTGGCTGGACCCTCCGTTTTCTGAACCTTCTCCTTCACTCCCATTGATTTTACTTTCTGGATGGCTCTGCAGAAAAATTGTAAAGAAAACCCCTTTTTTCCCTTTGATTTTGTTTAGTTTTCTTGGTAAATGTGGGGAGCTCCTGGAGAAGCTGCTGATTCTTATTATAAAGTACGGCCTGAATGCACTGATGTTCCTATAACCAGATTCAAGATCAAGGTTTTCTTTTCTTGTAAACAGAATATAGCTTTCCTTTTGCTTTATTATTGGTTTTAGTTCGATCGAGTTCTTGCTTACCTGAATTTATTCTATTAGAGTAGTTCTCACTTGGATCTGATCTTGAATTTCTACGTGTGTAAAATGGTGTTGTCAAGTGTTTTAGGCAATGAGCTCGATGTAGATTGTGGTTTCTTGTATGATCAATTCACTGTCAAGCTCTGCTACAAGGATTATATGAAAGAACTTAGAAAATAAATCGAGAATACTTGTTTCGGACATATTTGTATCCCGCATTCATCTCGAGTGGATGACATTGAAAAGAAGTTTGGTCCACCCTTTCTCTGCTTTGATCCGTTCATCATTGATCATATCATATAGTTTGTTTGAACTGAAACGAGTAATAATTAGAGATGACAATGGAAAATTGACTTGCATAATGGACAAAAGTACATTGATTGATACCGGTGCTCTTGCCGAATTGCTATGGCTATTAAGGAAGGAGTAATTTTGACTAAAGCAATGATTTGGAAAAGTTGATGGTACATAAATATGAATGAAACTATAAGTTTATATTTAAGACATTGTTTAAATTGAATGTTTATATTTAAGACGTTACACAAGCATAGTATTTTTGTTGCGAATTCTACGGACGTTACGTAACGTGTTGCCGCTGTAGCGGGTGTGATCTCTTCCTCAAAAATCACAATACGTCTAAAATATTATATTTATACATTTTACAGTTATCTTTTAATATAGTAATATTAATATACTCTTTTAATATTTTATTTTGAAAATAAAAATTTAATTTCATAGATAAAAATTTATTAAAAAATATAAATCATAGAAGTGCTATCATACTAGATAATGTGTAATAACAATTATAATGTTAATGAATAATATATAAACAATATAACTAAAATCATATCAAATTTTTATATTGTAACATAAAAATGTTCGTTTTACATAACTTAGAAAGAAAGAAATACATAACTACAAATATAAAAATTATATATCTTACAATTCACCGCCAAAATGAATGGCGTGATGGATCTAAAGCATTTCTATCTTCGTCGTTGTCTTGGTTTTGATTCCTTCCTATTCCATGTGAAGAAGACATTAGATTATGTGCGTCATAAGATGCATCATTAGTAGGAAACACGTATGATAAATGATGACAAAAAAATCAATAGCTTGGATTTCGTTCAAAGTAAGGTGGATAACATGAATTTGGTTGGTAATAATTAGAACCATGAGATGATTCACTAATTTCATTATCATTTATAACTGAACTATATGATGATGAGCCTGTAAATGAATCATAAAAGTGTTCCATCATCCTCCTATGAGTTCTATCATCACCATTTCTTCTATTTTGTGATGCATTTGTTTTGTACAAACCTGAATTATCATCTAAGGATATCTAGACGTACATTGATCTCCATGAAAAGCAGTAGAATAAATGTGTTCAAATTCTAGTTGGTATGTACTTTCATTATCATCACCATAATCATCACAATCACTACCATCATCGTCGTCGTCGTCATCATCATCGTCAACGTCGTCATCTATTACTTTTTTTTTGTCTCTTACACATACACTATCAAAGAATATATTCTTTTTTTTTTAATTTTAAGTATAATTTTATTTATTTATTTATTTATTTGCATTATTCAGATCCCAAATTATGTAACTATGCCTATCAATTATTTGTTTTTCTACGCCTCTACCTCTACACGCACATATCATCACTTTTTTATTTTGTCAAGGAATATATTCATTTTTTATTTTATTTATAATATTATTTATTTATTTATTCTTTATATTATAGATTAGATAAATTTTTTATAGTTTCATAATAGATAAAATACATATACTATTATAGTATTATAAAGTAAATTTCTGTCTTATACAAAACTTATATAATAATAAATAAACATATAATTATGATATTTAATGTTAATATAAAAATTTAATTTAAAATTAATCATGTCAATTTTAGATATGAGAAAAATTCAATTTAAATTTAAATTAATTTAATTTTAAAATAACATTAATAAATAATTTAATTAATTCAAATTTAAGTAAATAATTTTAAACATAATTATTACGATATTATTAATGATATATATTTATAATCCAATTTTAAAAATTAAATTAGAACAATTTATCTATGTAATTTAACATTTCAAATAATTTAAAGTTTGTGGCAGCATTGCGGCGTAATTTATATCGTGTTGCGGTGTTACGTAATGGTTTTTTACCGCAACAATCGTGATGCGGTTCTCTTATCGTGTTGCGCCGATATTACGTCGCGTTAACCTTAAAAATGTTACGATGCGGGCGTTACGTTACGTTGCGGACACAATTTAGTACTATGTATACAAGGTGTGTTCGTTTAATAGCTAAAACTTCTGCTTCTGTTTTAGAAGAACATCGATTTTTATATATATTTGTTGATTTTGCAAATGAAGTTGAGTTCTGCAGTAATTGTAAAAAGGAAAACGTTGCTTTGATTCGATAAAGATGCTTTTCTTGTTTATTCGCTTGTGCAGCCTGGCAAAACTCTTAAGTGCAAGAAAATGGCAAGCTGCATTTTCTCCAGATGGGCATCTGGATATCAGAAAAACTCTACGTAGAATCCAACGTGGGGTAAGTGCATAATTGTAAAAAGGAAAATGTTGATTGTTCTAGTGGGATGAGGCACTAGGTCTCTTAAGCAAGGTCAGGGGTTCGAATCCTGGTGTTTGCAAATTGAACAAACTGGGCTGGGAGAGTCGCCCTCGCCTCTGCGATACCCGATCTGGATTAGTCTGTCAATAGATCGGATACAGGTGATTAATTCAAAAAAAATTCCAAAGTAATTTATTTGAAATCATGGCCATCAAAATCTGTCTCAAAGGCTACATCGAGGATCGGGTTTCACCTTTTGACTAGTACTGTTTCCACCTACAATTTAGTTTTTCAGCAGGTCTTGGATGCAGTCAATGAATAGAAATGTTCTAGTAAGCAAAGTACGAATTCACATGTAGATTTTTCCCGTTTGTTTTAAAAAATTGGTGAGAAAAGGTCTGGATATCAATAGTGAAATTGCCGATCCCTCTACAATTCGGCTTGTAAATGAGCAAGCATAGTCTATCCATCAATGCAGAATAACAGAAACAAATACGTTAATGAGTATCCTGTGTAATTTATGTTTATGTGTACATGCACATAGCTATACTTATTTGTTTTTGCCTCTTATCTATTGTCATTATTTTCCTTTTGTTTGCAAACATAGGGGATACATCCATCAATTAGAGGAGAAGTTTGGGAGCTTTTGCTTGGCTGTTACGATCCGGAGAGCATATTTGATGAAAGGGATCAAATACGGGAAGGTAATCCATTGTTCCCACCTTGTATCAGTTTTCTGCCGGGGCCTCTTTCCCCATCGGGGGATCATGCTGAGTGTTGTTTTCTCACTTCATTTCCTTAGGGTGCAACACGCCAGATGGAAGAACGAATGTTGCGAAATCTTTCCCGTTATTGGAAGTGGGAAATATATCACAGCACCTGTCATCACTGATGATGGTCAGCTCATTCAAGATCCTTTAGTGCTTTCAGAGATAAATCCAGGCAAGATACCGGCGCTGTACCTTTTTTTCTAAATAGTAGTCGCTGAAAGTGAAATAAACCAGGCTTTAATACGTGATCGATTATCCAGGTACGGATGCTAATAATGCTGACATGGTGAACACGCTACTTCCTCGTTGTCCTTTTGATAAGAAAGTAATCCAGTGGTTGCTTACATTACATCAAATAGGTTGTTTATTGCTTTAGACTTCAAATGCTTGCGTTGCTTTCTTGTCTTAGTCGTGACCGTGGTTCTCGTATTAATGTTTATGTCAGTTCTTGATGTTATTCGCACCGACAGGACTTCAGTATTCTACGAGAAACAAGAGAATTTGTCGAAACTTTGGGATATTCTCTCCGTTTATGTCTGGATAGATACGGATGTAGGCTATGGTCAAGGCGAGTAATTTCTTTTCTAAAACAACGATTATAGTTTCTATTTGTTGGTTGCATTACTCGATCTTTTCGTTTTTTTAAAGTGTCGTGTGTGATGCATATCTGTACACGGGTATGGGTATATGACCCTCCAAGGATCCGCCAAATGCTATTTCCGATAGTTGAATTCAATTATAATGTTAAGCAGGAATGAGTGATCTTTGCTCTCCCATGATTATTCTTCTTGAAGACGAAGCTGATGCGTTTTGGTGCTTTGAGCGTCTGATTCGCAGATTGGTACGTTTACTTTCATTTTAGTTTATCACATAAACCATGGCAGCATGATGCTTATCTTTTCATGTGCACTAGGTCTATTTATGATCACAAGATGTATGATTTTTTATACGCCATTTTAAATCTTAAAGCGAGGAAATTTCAGATGCACCGAAAATTCTGTAGGGGTCGAGACACAACTCGGTTATTTAGCCGTTGTAACTCAAGTTATTGATCCGAAACTTCATCACCATTTTGGTATGAAAAGAAATTCATTTCTTTTGTTCTTTAGTTTTATACATTGTGCTGTCTTCAGCTCTATTTTTCTCACTCTTCATTTTTCAAATATCAATGTCTTACTATCCTGACACGGATTTTGAGGATACGATTCTCCAAATACCGGGAAATCTTGAAAAACAATTTAACATTCCTATGGCAGACATGTATCGATATTCGTCGCTAACACCTAAGTTTGAGTAACATAGTTCTTCGAACATTTTAGTAACAACATAACGTTGCTCTCCAATATCGTTTTAAAGAAACACTGGGTGGAGGTAACTATGTCTTTGCTTTCCGGATGCTAATGGTTTTGTTTCGTCGAGAGTCTTAAACCATATTCGGTTAAGCAGGTAGTTGGTTGTAGGTTAATTATAACCAACCTTGCAGCAGCTCATTGATAGCTTTAAATAGCTGCACATCTCTGTAAATGAATTGTGAATACAGGTTTCAAGTTTTAGCATTCTTTTTCTTGTTCATTCTTTCTAAGCTTCATCTATAGTTAACACGGTATCATTCGCCGTTAGATCCTGAAAAAGCTTTGATGTGTGCTATTCTTTCTCCTTTCTTGCTTTCTGGTTCTTGTTTGTCTTCGAAGAACAGTCATGGTCTAAGGCATTACAATGATAGTTGAGGATGAGCAGCTGACAGAAGCCAACTCGCATACATTCGCTAATAAAAGAATCAATGTATGCTTAACTGACTCGAACTACCTTCTTTGGAAGCAACAAGTGATTTCACAATCAGAGGGCTCAGACTTGAAAGCTTTCTTGATGAATCCATGGTGGTTCTAGTAAAATTGATACTCAACGAGGCTGGAGAGTAGACTGTTAATCCAGCTCATCTTCGGTATGTTAAGCAAGACAACTCTTTGGCTTCTTGGCTTCTTTCCACTGTTAGCACCAACATTATGCCTCAATTGGTTGGTGCTGAATCCACTGCTGCAGTCTGGAATGCCATCACCAGGCTGTATTCCAAACTGTCTACCACAAAAATAATGGCCTTGCATTATCGCCTTAGATCGATGAAGAAAGGCTCTCAGTCTATGAGAGACTACACCATGGACATTAAAGAAATATGTGATCTCTTGGCCACGTGTGGTAATCCCATTTCAAACATTGATCACATTGCCACCATTCTTAATGGACTACCAGTCGAATATGAGCCAACGATGGCTGCGATAACTGCAAGCAGAGATCCATTTGCCCTCAATAATGTGGTATCAATTCTTATTGATGCTGAGTCACACCTTGATGACTCATCAAGGTTCCCAATAGGTGTTAATTTCACACGCTACAACACCAACCAGGTCTCCGATGCTCAACAGTACAAGAATCGTGGGACTTCTAAGCCCAACAGCACCACGAATAACAAGTATAAAGGAAGACGTAAGAAGCAGTGTCAGTTGTGTGGAAAGCTAGGTCATCTAGTTGACAGGTGCAGGCAAATACGTGTTCATGCTTTCCCCATACATCTGACTACCATTACAATCCCTTTGTAAGTGCCAGTGCAGGAGATTAAGATGTATCTGCCATTGAGCCAAATGACAATGTGCAGGTCAATGCGTTAATGGCTAATGGTCCTTTGAATCATGCAAAATGGTTTCTTGATTTAGGAGCCACACACCATGTGACTGGCACCACCTCTACATTCTCGAGCAAGCAAGCATACAATGGCAATGGTATGGTTCATCTAGGAGATGGTTCCACTATTCCAATTATTCATATTGGTAGAAATGCTTTAAAAACAGTCTCTAGGGATCTCTTGCTTGATCAAATACTACACGTTCCAAATATTAACAAGAATTTCTTATCAATTTCGAAATTCACTCAAGACAACTCAATTTTCTTTGAATTTCACAAAAATGCTTGTTATGTTAAGGATGAAAGCACATGAGTCGTGTTGGTAGAAGGGAAGTTTGATGGAGGACTGTACAGTTTTGATTATCAGACTATGCAAGGAGCAGCAACACTCAACAACACTGTTGTTAGAAATACCAATGAATATTGGTTGTGGCATAAGAGGCTAGGTTATCCAACAGCTGAGGTGGTAATGAAAACCCTCAATAAGAGACTAAGTGTAGACAAAAGTGAGGTTTGTGCAGCCTGTCAGATGGGAAAAAGAAAAACTCAGCCCTTTCCTTTGTCACAAACTGTGTACAAACAACCTTTCGAGTTAGTTAAAGTTGATGTATGGGGCCCTACTCTTATTGTTTCTAGTGGTTTCAAATACTTTGTGAGTTTTGTAGATTTGTACTCAAGAAACAGCTGGGTCTATTTGTTAAGGAAGAAAAGTGAAGTTATTGTTTCTTTTGAAATGTTTTCAGCCTTGGTTTCTAATCAATTTAAAACTACAATCCTTGCTTTACAAATAGACAATAGAGAAGTGTTTCGGTTTCTGGGAGTTGTCTCACATAAACTAGGTGTTAAGCTCAGTAAATCATGCCCACATACCTCACAACAAAATGGGGTGGTGGAAAGGAAACATAGGCACATAGTAGAAACTGCTTTGACTCTACTAGAAGAAGCTTCAATGCCTCTAACCTTTTGGTCTCATGCAGTTCTCAATGCAGTATACCTCACCAAAAGGATTCCCTCCAAGAACCTTGGTAATGTGTCTCCTTATCAGAAGCTATATAACAAGCCTCTTGATTACAGGTTTTTTAAAATTTTTGGATGCCAGTGCTTTCCTAATCTTAGGATGTTCAATACACACAAATTGGATTTTCGATCCAAGGCTTGTGTCTTCCTAGGGTACTCTCCTATGCATCATGGTTATCAATGCATGGATGATCATGGAAGAATTTATGTTTCTAGGAGTGTGGTGTTCAATGAAAGCATCTTTTCTTTTACTCACAAGGCAGCAGCTTGCAGTAGAAGTGGTAATAAAGCAGTTTGATCAAGGGTCATTCCATTTGTTTTCAGTCCGCACGAGCAAGCCAGGACTACCCCAAGGTCAAGTGTTAATACTAGGGTTAGTACTGGTCAAACAATTGAAGCAAGCAGTGCAGGTCAACCTACAGCTACAAGCAATGAACTGTATGTGCATACTGAAGAACAGTCAATAAATAATGAATAGGGCTCTCATGCTCTTGGATCTGCTGCCTATGCATCTTCTCAGTATGAACAAACTGCATCTTCTTAGTATGAACAATATGTCTCTAGTGAGCAAGCTCAAAATCAAGAAAATGTTTCAGATGCTAGAATGACCAACACTCACGCTATGATAACTCGAAGCAAGCACGGGATTTTTAAGCCAAAAATCTACTCAGTTCAATGTAAGGAAGTGCCTGGTGATATTCGAGTTGCTCTCAAAGATGATGACTGGAGGATGGTTGTTATGGCTGAATACGCTGCACTTATTAGCAATAATACGTGGGACATTGTGGAGTTACAAACTGGTAGGAAAGCCATTGGCTGCAAAGGGCTCTTCAAGGTGAAGAAGAATGCTGATGGCTCAGTAGAAAGATTGAACGCCAGACTGGTTGCCAAGGGGTATTCCCAAATACCAGGCTATGATTTTATGGACACATTCAGTCTTGTTGATATGATCTCGATTATGTGTTTCGAGCCATATACGATGTTGCCCAATTATGATTCTAGTAAGAACTTCGCAGTTCTTTGATTGAAGACTGAAAATGTACAAACAACGTTATAAGAAGGGAAATATGTATATATAAATATGTGTATGAAAGTAATGGAAATGATAGAGTAAAGTTGAAGTGGATTGTAAATGAAAGAAGTGTGGTGGTGATAATGGTTGAATGAATGTAACAAAAATGGTGAAGGATGTTTGTGGTTGGCGTGGAGAATGATAGTAATTCAAAGGATGGATTGTGACCCTCTAACTATATATGAGTTAGGAATCGACAATATAATAAAGATGGAATCGAAGTGATAGAGGGTGGAACGTGACCCACTAGCTATAGTAGAGCTAGGAACCAACGCTATAACAAGATGAAATGGATGAAGGCTTCAAGACTGACAAGAAACCGATAGAGTCTAATCCAAGAACTAAAATGAAAGAAGTCTTTCAAATTATTTTCATAAATCAAATTGTGTGTACAAATGATACCAAAGGTGCCTATTTATAATATTTCTAAGAAGCATATGAAAAGACTCAAAAGATGATAACATTCTCATCAATTTAGCAATAAAATGCACTTGAATGTTTTGTCTTCTTATCTTCAAAGTTGGATGAATATTCTAGATCATTTTGGGGATGAATCTAGATATTTTGAAGCTGAATATGGCCTTAATTTCGTCCAAGAAGGAGGGGTGACTCTTGGGCTGCATTGCTTTGCTTGCAAATGGAAGAAAATAGGTTAAATGAAGTCATATGATGAATGTGGACATCCTACATGTCCAAATCAGCTTGCCTCTTGAAATTCCTTGCTGATTTTATCACTTAATTTGATGATTAAATGAAATAAAATCAGCCTTCATTGCTTGTTCATTGGTAGCATGTGAATAGCCTTCAAAGAATGATAAGTAAGACTTGAATAAGTGAATTATGAAGGATTGAATGCATTGTCTCTCCAAGGATATGAACAGCCCTTGGTTTGAATGATTAAATCAGCCCTTGGTTTGGATGATTAAATCAACCCTTGGTTTGGATGATTAAATCAGCCTTGAATGCTTTGAATTTGGCGAATAAATATGGCCATCAATTGCTTGTCTCCTGGTTGAAGATGAAAGGACTCTTCCTTGGCTCAAACTCATCCAAATCATCCTTGTATAAAATTCCCGTAATGAAAATTCCAGCCTGCATTGTCTTCAGTAAATCGATCATATCTCAAGCTCCTGTTATCGGATTGAGGTGATTCAAAAGGCGTTGGAAAGCTAAGAGATAGAGGAATAATTTCAAATTGGTTTCTAGACCCAAAAACGTATGTATCGCATCCATAATTAGAAGACATTCTGATTGATATTCTTGCATCTGTTGAAATCGTTCAACTTCTCTCATGTACCTAGACACAAAAGTAAGAAATGTTTAAGCTTGAATAAAATAAAATAAAATTTTTTTATGAAAACATATAAAGAGCTAGTTTAATTAATGAACCAGTTTAAATGAATGAACTAGTTTAATTAGTGAACTAGCTTTATTGAGTGAAAGAGGATACTTAAATGAAGTAGCTTCATAAAAACCTACATGCTTTGATGAACTCATGCTTAAAAGAAGTAGCATGCTTATTTATTTATGCAACTTAATGTCATACAAATTTATTAACACTCATGAAAATTCATGAACAAGTAAACGATAAAATCCTCCCTTACACGTGGTTGTTCGTTCTTCACGTCCCAACCTTGAGTATGATGGTGGAGGTTCTTCTTTTGGATTGAAAAAGGCTTTCAAAAATCTAAAATTGGCTTGAAATTCCCAGATTAAGCTCAAATAATCTTCTTGAACCTTCTCGAATGTAAACAACTTGCCTCGATCAAATGATCTCAAGAAGATTGTAGAAAATGATGTAACGCGCATAGTCGGGATCACATCATTCCCTACCTCTTTAAGGTGACTCGTCCTCGAATCAAAAATATCAATAAAAGAACGAACTTCATTGGAAAACAAGAAGGAATCTTTACCATAGGTAGAATAATTCAATTTCGTTCCTCACCCTTGAGAAAGATTCAT